TTCATAACATTTTTTTTTCCTACTAAATAAGTGATTTGGGTAGCATAAGGCCTGTATTTCATCATTGTCCAAGGAAGTATTTTCCCTGGCCATGTTTTTTTTCATGTGCTAAATGAAGTAGTACTTATTCTGATGGAAAAGAAGGGCAAAACTTTCCTGGAAAAAAAGTTTTGGTGCCTCAAATACCACATCTTCTACTGTTGTTTTAGCATTCATGCTATTTTTATTGTTGTCATTAAAAATGGACTTTAGTGGTAATAGTCAACCATATTTATTGAGGATAATTTTTAATGGGGGTGGGAGAACTGTCTGAAGCTAAAAGCCACTCTTTTCAATCATACCTTAGCAATGATGTGTTATCATATCAGGCCCTAGGAGGATTAATATTTTTAATAAAAAATAAGGCTGCAGTGGCATGAAAAAGACTTATGTCCCCAGACTGTATTTTTTAATGTATTAGATTGTGAGCTATCACACTCTACATTTGATTAGGAACAGCTCCAGAGCAAGTCCAGAGAGATAAGTAACCAGGAATATACTTTGTCCATTCTGCATCCACCCTCCCCAAATTTCATACTACTGAATGTTGTTGTTGTTGTTGTTACTACTATTACTACTACTATAATATTTTATCCTGCATCTTTTATATATAGAGCAAGGCAGCGAACATACCTAATACTCCTGCCTCCTATTTCCCCACAACAACAACTCTGTGAGATGGGTTGGGCTGAGAGAGTGGCTGGCCCAAAGTCACCCAGCCAGCTTTCATGCTTAAAGGAGGCCTAGAACTCAATGTCCTGGTTTCTAGGCCAGCACCTTAACCACTAGACCAAAGTAGCTCTTTAGTAAGTTTTTAGTTATGTTGAGGAAGTCCTGTGGAAGAAGACACACAGAGTTTTTCTGATTTGTTAGTTGTTCCATAAATTGGGAGAATGTATAAAGGGCAGCTGCAAATTCTAGTCAAAACTGAACTTTGTTGGTCTCCTTCTCTTGCTGTCTAGATGTGACATGTCTTCCATTGTGTAATATAAAGTAATTATACCACTAGCATCTTCTTAACTTTGAAGGCACCTTTCCTTCCTTCAGTAAATGTGCTGAAAGTAAAGTTTAATGCAAAGCATGAAATAGTCTCTACTCAAGATCTCAGTAGAGCACAGAAGCAAGTCTCATGTAGGTGCTTGAAGCTGACATTTGTGAAAAGATGTAGGTAAGGATAGGAGATACAATAAAATGTATTTCCTATCCTTGAATCTCTCAATAAGCCTTCATAATAAGCCTTCATAGATGGTGAGATGCTGTTGCTGTTAGTACTACTCATTTATTGTTCCAGTCAAGGAGAATAGACTATATGCACGAAGTCATAAAGCATACAATGTGCACATAGGTTGTGTAGTGTATTATCACAGAATTAAGCATTTTTGTAACTTGTCTTGGAAAAAGAGTACCCGCTTTGTTTCAGGTGTTAATTCTACACATAGAATATTTCAGCAATGAGATTCAACAACACCTCCCTCCCTGCCAATTTTACCCCATTGCTTCCCACCCTAGTAACAAAGTGGAAGAGTTTCTGAGATGTGTCTCAAAGTCTCAGGGGCTGTAGGTGGTCATCAGCAGTACATTCTCCATTCTTTCTTTAAATTAACAGGGATGGCAATCCTTTCGTCTACTGTATTCTGTCCCTTGAAGCAACAGATAAACATGAATAAAACTAAGAAAAGATCAAATGCTGTAAAGCAAAGAGAACATTGATTGATTCCACCATTCATTCATCCAAGTTCAGCATATTTATTTGGCCACAACAGGTATTTGCTTTGCCATTTACTGTGTTTAGATAACACAGTTATCTAGAAATGGAGTTGAAACACAAATGACTTCTGTCTCTTTCCTCAGTTTTAATATAACATCAGACATTACAGTAGAAACTGGGAAAAAAATGAAAATCACACTTGCTTCTTTTAAAACTCCTTCTTGATAACATTGAACCAGTTCCAAGGTAGTACATTGATGTCACATTGCTGATTGGTATGATATGAATTTTCAGCATTATAGTTTCTGTAAGTGTTGAAGCCAGTGGTTGCTTTAACTTTCAACCTTTTCCAGTTTTCAGATGAATGAATGTGGGGGAGGAAGTGGGATCATGACAAGTTTCATGCCTGACTTACACAGGTTTATTTAAAAATCAGATAAATTTCTAGGTATATTTGTACATGCGCACTGATGATGTCACCTGGTTGGGTAATGAAATATCTGCAAGCAAACAGCCAAGCTCAGAGAACACTAAGGACCCCACAGTTCAACCCTGAGCTACACATATTCTCTTCTATTGGATATTTCTACTTTTCAATAAAATCAGCAAGGCTGTTTTTGTTGTTGTTGTTTTAGAATTTTTAAACACATCAGTGGAAATATATAAAATAGTTTCATTTCTGACCTTCAAATTAATGAAGCTAGTATTACCACCAAAACTCGCTTTTCTCCACCTAAGAGTATTTGGCCAACACTGTGATTATCTGTAATTTCCTTCCTTCCTTCCTTCCTTCCTTCCTTCCTTCCTTCCTTCCTTCCTTCCTTCTTCACACGTGCAATGGGACAACTCTGCTGTCAATAGCCTAGCCTAATAGTAGGCAACATTTTGGGGCCAGCAGCACATTTGCTTTTTGAGAGCATGTGCAAACTGGCTGTTAGGTGGGATCTGACCTATTCACACAATGGCTGACACCTTGGGCATGGTGGCACAAAGCAATCCTTTTTTTTCAGAAAGTGATCGGATAAAATGCTTCCCTACCCTATCCAGAGACACGTTTGCCTGGATGTTCCTTCCTACTCCTGCCTACCTTTGTCTCTTTTCTGGGCATACTTCCAAGCAAAGAACTAGGCTCTCCATTGGTACTTTCTAATGCTTATGGGGTTGTTGTGGTGCTTAGAAATGTGTGCATAAATAAAGACAATCCTGTCATCTGGTGGTTTGCTTTGTAGTGGACCTGTTTAGAACCTTTCCATTAGATTGGTCGGAGCTCGCTATGGGTAGTGGAGGAGTGAGTCTCTGTCTTTAGAGGTACCAGGCTGCCTACCTGTGGCATGTGCAATTTCTTGTGATATGCTGAAGCTGTGAGGAAACCACAGAAGTAGTAAACAGGAAATAGATCATTATATCATCTCTGTCATGTTGACCATAGAGATTATAGTGTGTATAAATTATGGCTGACTATTTTGTATCCAGGGAATGTGAAAGATTCAGAGATTATGTTGCCTAGTGAAATCACAACCATCTAATCCCACTTGCAGTTAAATACCTTCTACGAATATTTCTTTGGTATTTTAGTGACTCTACATCCATGCTTTATATTTTAATATCTCCACTATTACCAAAAGGTATGCAGAACTATTTGGTGTCAAACATTGTCAAATTAAAGTGAATAATACTTATTTCTAACTCTATCATAAAATAAATCTTGTTCTAAATATCATTCAGTGAAATGGCATTCCAAAATAGCTTCTTAAAAAACTGTCATGGTGATTAATATTATGTGTGCAATGCAAGTAGATAGCAGACTCCTTGTTGTACAATGGAAAAGATATTTTCTAGTTGCTTTCATTGAGATATTGGTAACATCTTATCTAATAACTGAAAATTCCACTATGACAGAACAGATTTATGAGGACTAATATCTTGGAAAATATCTTGAAGTAAGGCACTGCATAACTGGGTGCAAGAGGCAGAATGGTGGTAAAGAGGTAAAAGATTGCACCCAAACTTTGTAACTCAAATCAATAAAGATTTGATCAAATCAGTATGCTAGCTGGTGGGGTTTTTTGGCAGCCAGAACATACCACAACAGAAATCCAAGAATCTTGGGCCAGAATTAAGATTAATCAGCTTTATTTTCACATACATTTTCTTGAATTATAAGGCACTTTGGAAAATGTTCCTTAGGGAGAAACATTTTCTGTATACATATGTATGGGTGGGGGAAAAGAGAAATAAAATTGTTTTAGAAAAATAAAAGTATTTTAGTGATAGGAAAGAAGCACAACTACATCATTTCCCCGGTGTTTGCCTGAAAGAGGCCGTAACTCCATGATATTCCATATGCTTTGAATACACAAGGTCCCACGTTTAATCTCTGGCATTTCCTTTTTAAAAGGATGTTAAACAACCAGGGTTGGCTGCTGATAGGTGGGAGAGGTTGTGCAAGTGGGGCCAGGGGCCGCTGTTGATAGGTGATGGAGGATGTGTGAGTGGCCTGCAGTCATGTGATAGGGCCAGGGGTGGCTGCTGATAGGTGGGGGAGGGTGCAAGTGACTTATCGGAATGACTTGTGACCTTCCCTGCCAGCTTACCCATTGACTTTGCTTGTGGAAAGCCAATAGGGAATGTTGCACATAGTGATCACGTGACTGCAGGGCTCAGCTTCTGCTGTAAGTATGAGCCAATTGCCAAGCGCCCAGATTATGATCACGTGACCACAGGGGTTCTGTGACAGCCAGAACTGCAAGGGCCAGTCGTAAGTCTCCTTTTTCAGTACTGTCGTAACTTTGAATGGTCACTGAACGAATGGTCAGTAACCAAGGACTACCTGTAATGAGTTTTATTAGCTGCTGCTCTATCAGTAAATAAAAACATATTAATGACCTGTGAAAACCAGTGGGATGTTATCTATAGCCTATTGCTCTTCATTGCTTGATATCTAGCCGCTTAGCAATCCAGAAATTCCTGACATTAAATAATGGTTCACAACTTTCCTTTTCGTGAAGAAAGATGGATGGATGGATGGATGGATGGATGGATGGATGGATGGATGGATGGATGGATGGATG